ACAACCGTCTTTTTCACCGGGACGCATACTCCAATAGGCTTGCCACCAGAGTCTGGCATCACCGGTCAGCTGGATCTGGGCACATAACATGCGATAACGATCAGGGCAGTTAATGACCTCGAAAATAATCTCGAGACCCTGAACCCATTCATCTACTACATGAGGATCTCCTTGGCAGGAAAACTTTTCTGGATGGTAGTCGCGGAACAAAGCGACCACTGTGGCCTGTGGGAGTTCCTAGTGATCTGGCTCTCTACGAGGAGGCATCTGAACATTGAAATATTTAACATGATTAAATAACATAAGAGATTAACTGACTGATTACTTAAATACACAGATCTCTTGACGAGTCGCTAAATAACCCGAGAATACTAAAGTCGAACAATCAAATGACTAGGACAATCGACTAAGTTCTGAATATACTCGAGCATCTTACTGGTTTCTAGGGTCAAATATCTGATACCTTTTAACTGAGCATAGACTTAAGTATTTATTTAAATATATAAACTGTAACTCAGCACTTACCTGGTAGTCGGCGAGGCGTGAGCGTAGCATGGTCGGGTCTTTTCTGAAAATTCCTGACATTAAAAGTATTCAGATACACGAAAATGTGCTCTGATACCAATTTGTAACACCCCACTAGCTTACTAAAATCAGAATGCGATTTTCGCAAATCCTTTTCTAAAGTTTACGTTTTATTTTGCGAAACATATATCAGGATGTTACATAAAATATTTCTTTTCTAAAAATCCATTAACTATAAACCCATTTATGAAAAACGGATTATCATTATAAAACAAGCGTGTGATACTGTATAAAACTAGACCCGAAAGCTCGGATCGTCGTCTGAAAATTTACACTCTAGTTTGAAAGTCTGAAAATGTCAGCGGAAGTAAAACTTGGCAAATATATACATATCAACAGTCTGCAAAAATATATACATATTTACATGTACTGGACCGGTGACCACCAGCTCCACTCACTCCTCCGGACCGACCCTGTCTCCTGAAAAAGAATCATAATAGTGGGAGCATGAGTACTATAAACACTGTACTCCGCAGAAACTCATACTAAAGTAAACATCAATATTAATATCAATATCATGACTGCAGGTATATATAAGTAAACTGTAATCTCCAGACACAAGGTCTGTAACTGAACTGAACCTCCTCGGACACTATGTCCGTCCATGTGCACAT